TTAAAGTCCTCATATGAGTGAAGTCATATGATTTTTGTCTTTCTCTAATTTCACTTAGCATAATACCCTCCAGTTCCATTCACGTAGTTGCAAACGGCAAGATTTCATTCTTTTTGATTGCCGAGTAATGCTCCATTGTGTGTATGTACATTCTCCACATTTTCTTTATCCATTCATCCATCGATGGACATTTGGGCTCTTTCCATACTTTGGCTATTGTTGATAGTGCTGCTATAAACATGGGGGTGCATGTGCCCCTTCGAAACGGCACACCTGTATCCCGTGGATAAATACCTAGTAGTGCAATTGCTGGGTCATAGGTAGTTCTATTTTTAGTTTTTTGAGGAACCTCCATACCGTTTTCCAGAGTGGCTGCACCAGCTTGCATTCCCAACAAAGCCCATATTAACTGTGATGCCTGGTTCACATGGAGAGTTGGGAGGGGAGCGGGCCTGTGGGCCCCTCTCCCAGCCTTATAGAAGTTAGGATAGCTTTTCAAGGGAGGGATCAGAGGTTGTCAGGCCTTATTGGTAGCACTGTTCTTGGAGACAGCCTAGGGCCTTGAGGTCCTGATACTCAGGTTGTTGGGGGGAAATGGGGCCTCTGGGCTTTTCTCAAGGTTAGTGCACAGGCCTGAGGTGATGCATTGTGCGTTAAGTTTGTCTTGGTTGTGTCGGTTAGAACCAAGGTTTTGGGACGCCAGTAACAGAGGCAGTTTGCACACGACCTGCCTCCTCCAGTTGGGTTAGGCCACCAAGCAGGGGTGGGGAGGGGGTGTCACTTTTGTGTTCCCAAGTATAAGGAGGCTCCCTCTGGGATCCTGTCTTTTCTGAGCCTCTTTACCTCCCCCTCCAGATACAATTTAGGGCCCTAGGGCGGGCACCCCATTTTGGTCAATGGTATCCTTAGCACCCAGTATAGGGCTGGGTCCAGTCACCCTAGAGTTTGAGTGAATCAAGGAGGTAAAGAGAATGAATGTGGGCCCAGATGTGGACGCGCTGTGCGGTGCCTGGGCCCTGCCTAGGAAAGTGAACAGCACCCTTCCCTCCTCCAGGGGGCTCTCACTCTTCCTCTTGTAGCACCACCCCCACTTCCCGGCAGCCCTTTGTATGGTATGAGGTTTTAGATATTTCCTTTCCCAGAGTTAAACATGGGCAGCATTACAGAGTCGGCAAGCTGTAGAAACAAAGCCCCCTCAGTGATTTTTCCCAGTGGCAGCCCCACAATTGTGTGATGTGCACCCAGAGGCTGAGGGAAGGGAGGGGGTGGGGACTATGGAACTATTGGGAACATCACCTCATCATCTCTTCCAAATGAGCCAAACATATACAAGTCGCAGAAACCTAGCTTCGAGGTCCCCTACCACATCCCCACCCCTGGAATTAATTTATTGTGGATTATATATCCCTCACCTTTACTCTGACTGAGGCTGGGAGCACCCCCCCCCCCCCCCCCCCCCCCCAAGGCTGGGCCATTCCCCGTTCTCCAGGATGTACCGGCATGCCCTCCCAAGCAAGATGGGGCAGGTCTGTCTGGCTTTACGGCAGGGGGGCTGAATAATGAGGTCAGCAGCCTGGGTTGAAACGAAATTCTGGGGCCTGGGGCCGGAGTCCATGCTGGTGGCCTTTGGGCTTGGCACTGGCTCCGCAGAGCTCAAAGAAAAGGCCTTGCTCTTCAGCCTTTGGCCACCAGAGGTCTCCAGATCACCACTCTGTTGTCCTAGCGTGACCGTTGGACCCCTGGTTTTCATAATTTGCTAGAAGATGCACCTGATGGACAAATCTCAGAAGCTGGTTAGAACGTGGATGCGCTCCCCCCCTCTCCCCAGTCACTCCCACAGGATCTGACAGCAAAGCTTACGCGTGCCAGGCTAAGTGAGGGCGAGGGCCTAGCTACTGAACCCAGGGCATTAAAGCACTTTGGCAAAGAAGTGTGTGGCCCCTGTGCATACCCCAAATCTCATGCTGGCCTCAGTTGCACAGGCTAGCCCTGAGCCCTCCTCTCATCAACCCCTCGTCTTCCTAAGTGGAGACCAGAGCACCAGCACTGTTCCCCTGATGTAAGAGAGTCCTATTCCTGCCCTAGACCTCCACGCGTGACATTTCCATATTTAGGTTATACCTTCCCCTGGTGGGTTGGCCTCCCCTATATTTGTACTAGGCATCCAGAGAAGGAGGTGGCAACAGAGGCCCAGGACAGAAATTGCATTAAGTAAAATAGTCTCCTAACAAGTAGTTCATTGTGGATGGTTGGGGGTGCTGGTGCAGGAAAGGCATCTTCTGGTTCTCTCGGAGCTTAAGTGCTACCATGTGCTGTTCCCTGGAAGCCAGAGGGCCGGTGGGGGCGGGGGGGGGTGCGGGGAGGGTGGCGGCAGGCGAGGAGCCTCGCTGTT